TTCAGATTTTATTGTCTTAATGTGATGATAGCATTGTTAGTTGTCACTTGTCCTTATTAAATTTGTTCCATCCACCTTATCTATTTCTAAGCCTTGCATTTACTCTGTCTGACTCTCAGTCTACTGTGTATTGCTGGGGAAAATTGAGCCCAGACTCAAAAATGCAATTAAAATGGAACTGAGCCCTCAGTGGTTCTCTTAGCTCTTATCTTTGTCAGGTTTACATATGCTTTTCAGGATTAGCATCCTCATTTATTTACCCTGCACATTTCCTCACTCTTAGGAAGTAATATCTATTTATTTCCTCTTTGCCTATCTACTTAGAAGCCTTTAAAAATTACATCTTAGAGCTGATATGGGGCTCTAAGATCAGTGGCTTTCAAGTTTTGAACACATGCCCTCATTATGCTTTTAAAAATGAAGAGTTTCAATATGAAAAAAATGCATAATCAGTGTGAGACCCATGGCATTGCTTTGCATTTTTGAAGATCTTAGTCTAGCTGTTAACTACATTTTCCATTTCCTCTCCATTCAGTTTGTTGCAATATGTTGTTTTGATTGATGTATATGGAGAGAGTCTAGTCTCACCCAGATAACTAACTGAAAAATGCTGCTGAAAAGCCCTTTCAAGTAATGGGATATTCTTCTTTGGTACCACAGTAGAACTTGACAGATGATAAAGTCTTTGAAGTTGGTTGCAATGTGAAATTTGAAGGCACATCATTGACTTTCTCTTACTGTGTTAAATTTAAACCCCTTGGTCTAGCTTGTACTTTGAATGGACTCATCTATACTTTAATTTGTACAGCAGGCATTGGTCATGTGGAAACTTTGCCCACTGGATTATGACAGTTTTCTAAATCTAAAGTATAATACAATATCAGAAGTCACATTTGTTACTCAGAAAAATCTTTGAGCATTGAGAAACTGTCAAACTTACAGTAATGGATACAGGTTTTCTAGTTTATTGCTTCAAAACTTGAAATCTTACCACAAGCAAAAACATGGCCTGTTATTTGCTTTCCCATATCATCCTTACTTACTTAATTTATTTCTGAGACAATGTTTGCAAGATACTCAAATCTGGATAATTATATTTTATTGGTAGTTCTCCAGAGTAAAACAAAAATCAAAAACTAATACTCTGTTTTATAAAGCACACAGTTTAATTGGCAACTTAAAGATTACGCCTGTGCTTTTACCAAACGTTAGTATTAACCAGTAATGGCAAACCCTTTAGACGTTTCTGTGGTAACAGCCGGCCATGGTACATGTACCATAGGTTTGCCACCACTGCTATAAGCCATCAAGCTGTTGTTTGTAGCAGAAGTGGGTCATGAGTGGTTTGTCAAGGGCAAGATTTAGTAAAGTCGGCAGTTTTTACTGTATCAGTAAGGGCTTACTTAAAGAATGTGTGGGGGTGACTGGGTAGTGGGTTCTTTTCCCATATATATTGTTATTTTTCTTCTCATTTTTTATAATTCACACCTTTCAGTCCATACAAATAATATTTCCTTGTCCATTTTTGCTTCAAGTTATCAACGTTTGTCTTTTCTGCCAAGTTTGTTAAATTGTTCACTTTTACTATTTCTCCTATTCTGAATCATACTTCTATCTTTAAAGTTTGGCTAGTCTCTCCACTCTAAATGTCATTTTTTCTTTTCTCTCTTTTAAAAATATTTCTAGTGACATGCTTAATCCAACAGTTACATCTTTACTTAGGTGCACTTATAACAATTGATTATTCTTTCCTTCTGGTTGTTCCTTTGTAGAACCCTAGTTAATATATTTTTCCCTCCTTTATTTTTCTAATCTCTGTCATTGTCCTGTCATCTGCTGACTCAGCCTCTGCTTATTTTTTTAGTGTTCCTAACGTTGTTATCTTTTTGTGCATGTTCTTAATTTACTTTAACTGACATATTTCAGATGAATCAAATTGCTGTTTCTAGTCCTAACTCTTCCACTAAGTTCAGGACCCATACCTCGCACTTCTAAATTGTTGCCTCCCAGGTTTTGAACCTGTATTTGGCATTCCATGACACAAACATTCTGTAAAATTGCATTTGGCATTCTGTGAAAAAAAACTTAAGGCGTTAATGAAACAATGACTTTACAACACACTAACTGAAAGCAGTGTTCGGTGAAACAGGCAAGATAACCTATAAGGCGAGGTAAATAATGAGTAAGTAACAACATATGTACATGATGATGAATACTGATTGTGATGGGAGATAACTTAGATAGGTTTGTCCAAAAATATCTGAGATAGGAACACCTACAGTGAGTCCTCAAGAATTAGAAAGACTCATATGAAGAGAATAGTGGAAAGAACATATGATGTATAGAAGTGCCAGCATCGAAGCCACAAGACAAGACCTTGGGGGGGGGGAGAAAAAAGAAAAGACCTTGGGATGTCCTAAGGACCTAAGGTCATTATAGATAATGAGAGTAAAAGTTAACTGAGGGTGAGCTGAATTGATAACAGTGTCTTTTGATCATGAAAAAGGAGTTTAGCTTTATTTTAATTACATTGAAAAGCCACTGAGATGTTTTAAGTTGTGAAAAAAATCAATTTTTATTTCTCAGATATTCTGGATATACTGATGAATAGATGGGAGATAAGAGAGATGTGGGGAGAAACTGGATCATCTGGTTCGGAAGTCATAACAGATGATGGTTGCTTGAACTATTAGGTGAACTAAACATGGGATGTAAATGGACTTGGACAGGCTATATTTTGTAGCTTTGAACCATGATGACCTTGTCTTAGAGTGAAGCTTAGAAGACAAATTAGAACTTTTCAGAGGAAAAGGTTAGCAGGTGTTTCAAACTGAAGGAACATCATTCACAAAGGGCAAGAGACCTGAGAAAAACAGTATTTGAAGACCTGAAAGAAACTCAGCACACGTGAGGGGAATGACAGAGTAAAGTGTTTGAGAGACCTACAGGGCAGATGGTACAGGGCTGTGTTAGGAAATTCAGACTCTGTCCATGCTGAAAGGTGTCATCTGGGTTGTATTTCTGATTACCCAATTATAACCAGTAACAGAAAGCCAGGAGTTGATGAACTTATAGGGAGAATAGATAGAGTGAAAGCAGTGTACCTCTTAATGCAGAGAAACATTGGCATTTAAAAGCTCATCAACAATAGAAAGGGACACCTTGGAACAAAAAGAACCAAAATCCAAGGGGTATGTGATTTTTAGAAGTGATTGTCAGCATTTCAGGTGATTTTTTTGAGAGGTTAAAGACTTCAAAGTAGACTGAATTGATCATTGATGGACTTGGGTAAGAATGAATTTGATGTAGTCATGGATTGAAAAACTGTATGTTGAAAAAATAAGACAAAGAAGTTGAATTTAGGGTATATGGATGACTAGGGGGATTTTGAGAGGGCAAGAATAAGAGCATTGGTTGAGGTTTTTGATGGAATCTTCAGGAATATTTTTAAGACACGTTTGATGTATGATTAAACGGTATGTGGAAAAAAAGTTGAAGGAAAAGAAAAGAAGTAAGATGGGATGAGATCTTCTATAGATAGCATTGCTTATCTCTATCTGAAAACTTCAGAGGCAGCTTTAATGTCGTCTTCACCAAGGCATTGGCCCCACTTATACGTATTAACCAAATCTTAATTTTGCCTCAGAAATACAGTTTGACAGTGAGTTTTCCTCTCCTCACTAAGTAGCTTTGATTAGATTGACAGTATCTCTGTAGGACTCTTGAAACAAGGCTCTTCCTTTTATGGTTCTTTAAAACAAAAAAAATCCATGTGATCATCTGGCTACTATGGTGGAATCATAGTTTGGCCCTTGCAGATGTGCCTCTTGCCATCTTTCCCTCCTCCTATTTACTCTCACTTCTGTACTACTCTCATCTTATCTTATAGCTGCATTAAAATTTCCTCTGATTCTTCCATTCTCTCTGCTCCTACAAACTTTTTTGCTTTAATAAAGATACTTTCTTTACCTGAATTTCCTTTACCTCCCCTCACTTCTTTGGCAAACTCCTATTCAGTACCAGGCTCACAGTTATGTGTTATGACTTGGCAGACGAAGTCACTCCTTGCTGTGTCCACCACACTGTCTTCGTCTTTCTGTTACAGCATTAACTTATTCCTTCGTTTTAGTACTGATCTGTTTGTCTTCAACTGGACCATTAGCTCCTATAGACCAGGAACTGTGACATCCATGCATGATGGTTAAAATAGCTGTTGTTGATTAACTATTTTGTGACTGAGTGACTAAATTACAATCTTCAATGAAATTTGATAGATTTCTAGCTTGTTGACATTTAAAATGATGATTTAAGAATAAGAGCACTGAGGCCTAGGAAGGAAACATGATTGCCCCAAGGTTATGCACATAATAATTCAATTCTTCTGAATTTTTACTTGGCTTTCTGAGGATCTTCTACTAGTTGCTATCAGTCAGTACTGGTTGGATGATATTTCATGTAACATAGAGCCAATTTAAGGGCTTTTATCTTCTGCAGTGCCATTTAATTTTTAACTTACAGAATGTGACTCAAAGATGGAAGTGAAAAAAGTTACTATGTGGAAAAAGTCTTGAAATGCTGTTTGAATTCAGTAGGCTATCTAGTTTTCTTTACAGCAAATTAAATTATCAGAAGTCATACTTAGGTGTTGGGGGTATAGCTCAGTGGCAGAGCACATGTTTAAAAGCTCTCAATTCCATACCCAAATGAGTGAATGAATAAATGAAATAAGTGTCCTTTTATTCTGTCTACACTATTATGCTAGATGGTCTGTATATGTAGAACCTTGTATGCATTTCTGTGGACCTATTTATGTGCACACACTTCTTGCATTTTGGAAAGGCAAACATTAGTGCAACAGTTAACAGTCACTGTTCCTGATGATTTGTAGATTATTTTGCTATTGTGATAAGTGATCCTTCTCAAAGCAGAGTATGTAAAAAATTCTTTTAGCTGCTACTTGAATTATATTTTTAATCTTTGCTACTTGCTTTTATTTTTAGGGTTTGTGTTTAGTGAATCAGAGGGATCTGCATTAGAACAGTTTGAAGGTGGCCCCTGTGCTGTTATTGCACCTGTTCAGGTAACATAGACCACTTTACCAACTCCTTAGAGGCACAATTCAAATGCTTTATACTTGGCTGTTTTCTGATGTCTGTATTCTGTAAACCCATGAGACTCAGTCAGTTAATTTTTTTAAATGTAAATTGCCATACATATCCAAAATTAAAATGCATTTAAAACATGCACAATAGTAGCCTTTTGAAGTATTTTTTTCAAAGAAAAACAGTAGGGATTCCCTGACTTAAGAAAATTAGAAATTACTGGTCTTGTCCTCTTTTCTAAAACAAAGATCCTATTGAGTAATAACATTTTATGTGCTGGATAGGTACAATTATATTAATTATACTGTTGTCACTTGTCCTTTCTATAAAAAAGATTTACCTAAAACAATGAAGATGAATTAATGTTTTTGTGGTATGAAAGTTGACAATGAGTTAATATTTTGCACATATGTAATATAAGCTGACATTATGTAGTGTTTTAGATTGTAGCTTTGGGCTTCATACGTAGAATTAGCAACCAATTTCAAAGAGAATTTCAAAACTAAAAGTTTTGTTGCACAAAAGATGAGGTTTACTTAAAGTTTGATTTTGAATCTTGATGTTTTTAATTATAGACTGATATGCTATAATCTTGCATTATTAAAATCAAGAATTTTCACTTTACTGCTTTGTTTGCAATGTCTGAACAGCAGTGTAATATTAGAACTATTATAAAAGAAGCTGTGATTTATATATTTTAATCGTCATAGTTTGAACATACATATTTAATGTGATACAATATTTATTATTCATTAAGCATTAAAAATACATTTCTGAACCTTTAGCTGAAAGTAAATTTGTCTTGTAAATATTATACCCATATATACTTACGTTATTAAATTGAAAATGTATTTCTCTAAGAGAAAAAAATCTTGCAATTGATTTCAAAATACATACTTTATAGGTCGTTATTTTAAAGAGTAAGATTGAATTTATTATGAAGTGTCATAAATGCCATCAGTATGACTAGTTGGCAATTCGAGGAAAAAATGAATTTAGTTCATCCCATACCATGTACCAGATATGTGCTTGGACTATTCAAACCACAGGAAACAAAAAAATGAATGGATTGTCAACATCTTAAGAAAAGTTTTCTTTAAGCTGAAAAAATACTTGCAGTTAGCCAGATGTAGTAGTACATTCCTACAATTTTAGCCTTCTAAGGAGGCTGAGGCAGGAGGATTATAAATTCTAGCCTAGGAAATTTAGTGACTTAGCAAATCTCTGTCTCAAAATAAAGGGATTGATGATATAGCTCAGTGCAGATTCCCTGGGTTCAATCTCCAATATCACCACACACACAAAGAATCATTTTAATGACTATTAGCAATAAGAGGATATTGTTTTTCTTATGCAAGTAATTCATACAAATTGATAGAAGACCCCAGGTGGTGAAATGGACATAAATATGTCGTTCTGACAACTGGAGTAGTGTTAAACAATGAAAGAATCAAGTCAGTAACTCCCACAAAGACTCCAAGAAAGTAAAAATAAAACTGTAGCTAGTCTCCTTCTTATTAAAAAAAAATTTAAGTGTATTTTCTTTGATTTTGGGAAAGAATTTTACATTATAATTAGAACTGTATACTAGTACAGATTTTTTTGATGAAAAAATTGTACTTATTACAAGAATTCGTCCTAAAGAAATAATTCATTTAGAAAAAAGCTATTCAAGAATAAGTTTATAGACTGTTTTTAGAAGCCAAAACATGCAAATCTGATATACAGTAATATAATTAAACATGAAAATGTAAGTATATTTCAATAGCTTAGTAGTAGTAGACAATAGTGGTTAAGAATTATAATTATTAAATTTCTTAGGAAAACAAAGTGGAAATTTAATAAAATACATGCACTGTGATTTTTCCTTGTGCAAATAAGTATGAAAAAAAGTGGTTGTATTAAGGACAGAAAAATATATATTCTTATCCCATTTCCAAATTTTGTAAGATACTTAGTTGTATTACTCATTTTTATGGTGCTGGTTGTTTTGAAGAAAAATCAGGAGCGCTTACTGTAGTGTTTGTAGGCTTTACTTCTATGTGAATATGATAAAACATTAATTTTTTAAAAAATTCTGTGAATTGATAATTAGATACCAGGTGCTGTATTGAATGCATTGTATGAATTGTCTCATATGTACCTCTCTGCACTCCTTTAAAATTTGTACTATTATTATTTATAGTTAATGTAACTAGAATTCAAACCAAGGTCTGTCTCACTTAAAACAGTCCTCTTAATCTGTGCTCTCTTGTGCTTTCAGCCACCCATAAGAATCAATTTAGTAACCTGTTTTTCTTGAGTCTGTCCTCAGAGGTTCACATTCAGTAGGTGGAGGCCAGGAGTCTATATTTTAAATGAATGAGTTGGGTGGACTGCACTTTGGGAAGCAAACATTGTACTGAACAGGATTCTGTTGACTAACTCCAGTAACAATGAGATGACTTACTAAAGGGAAGATAAGGGATTGGTTTGTGTTTTCTTTTGTCTTCATAGCATTATGAGTTAAAGTTCACCATTCTTCATGATAAAAAGTGATGATCCCAATAGTCTTTTACTATGTATCAAAGCTAAGAAACACATTTATATTGTTTCCTTTTTAACCCAAGAAGTGTAAGAGACATGCAGATTTATTTCAATTCCATAAGGCGTTCACTTTTTGAGTGGAGCAATAACATCCTGAAATTTCTAGTTAAGTGTCTTAATTCCTTGGGTCATTTCTTCCACTTAAGGATGATTGCTTTTATGGTTCTAGGATAGTTTATAGTAGTGTATTCTGAGTAAATAATTATTATGGATACTGTCAAATGTGAAGAAAAAAACATTTGAAATTTGTGTAAAATTCAAAATTAAAACATAAGAAAGGAGGTGCATATTCATTTTTTTTTAAAGAATGAGATATGTTTGTAATGCATTCTAATCCTTGCTTTAATTGTGTAAAGGCATTTCTTTTGAAGAAGCTCCTGTTTTCTTCTGAGAAGTCATCTTGGCGGGATTGCTCAGGTATAATTACAGCTGTCTTATAAAACTTTTACCGCATTCTCTATTTTAAAGGTGTTCTATGAAACATTCATTGTTAATTACTTTCTTAAGATAAAAATATTTAAACTATCAGATTTTTTTTCTGAGTTTTCTTTTTAAATGTTTCAGAAAGTTTTATGATTTATAATTACAAGTTTTAAGATGTTTATTTCCAAATTTGGTTTTTCTATAATTAAAGGAAAACCTTTTGGCCTCTTGTTAAAATGTACACTTCCTTGAACTTTTAGGTGCTAGCATATTTTAAAGAATAGATATTTATGGGAAGTTTATTTTAATTATCTCTGATCATAAGCTCAGAATTATCTTTTCACTCCTGCATATTTTAACGTAACGCATTATATAGTACAAATACTGCAAATCTGAACTGAATTACAAATGAAGCTGTTACACTGTCCACAACCTAAGTCAGATACATGGTGCTACCTGATAATAACAGACATTGCTTTCTACTTGACAGTTTACAGAGCTCTTTCCTTCATTTACACTATTTCACGTGAACCTCAAAATAACTTCTGAAAGAAGGTAGGGTATATCCCAATTTTGTAGGTAAGGACATAACAGCTTCCCTTCTGAACCATGATCGTAGAACCTACCAATGATTTTAATTTAAGCAATAAGGTAGCATACTCATATCGTTTTTATTAACATATAATCTACCAAAATACAAATTTTTTTGTAAAACTGTTGAATGGAATTTTATCAGTATAACTGTATTCTTAAACTTTATCTTTTTTTTTTTTTTCTTTCTTTTTTTTTGGTACCAGTGATTGAACTCATGACCAGGTACTTTTAAGGCAGGCGATTATGCTGCTGAACTAAATCCCTAGCCTTAAAATGTATATTTCTTACAGAGAGGTATACTCACCTTGATAAAAATCTATAAAGCATTGCCATAAATGTCATGGTAATTACAAATGGTGCTTATAAATGGCACAAATGGTGCCTTTAAAGAATTTTTAATCCATTATCAGAGACAGAAACCTGTTTATGTCAAAAATATTGCATAGTACTTGTCCTGTACTAGAAACTTCCAGGAAATAATATTAATTCTAGAGAATAACACTACCTGTAAAAAGGAGAGGGGCTAAAATTCAGAGAGAAATGGTCAACTAAACGTGGTGCCCCAGGGTTATAATCCTAGCCATTCAAGAGACTGAGGTAAGAAGATCACACGTTTGAGGCCATTGTAAGATCCGGTCAATCAGTGGATGGAGGGATAGAACTTGGAATGTAGTTCAGTGGTAGTGACCTTGAGACTCAAAGCTCAGTGAGCCCTACTACTGCAGAATAGAAAAAAGAAAAGAAAGGAAAAAAGAAAAAAGGTCTGAGTATGCTATTTTCAAAAGAATTCAAATGCTCAAATTATTGTAATACAGTGTCAGTAGTTTCTGTATTACTTGGTGGAGTCTGCAATACTTATGATGGTCTCTACAAATGAAATGGTTTGTGGTCTTAGATGTGCTGAAGATGTATCATCTCGTTCTTGTGGGACAGATGGATCAAAGACATTAGAATTCAGAAGTGGGGGAAATAAATGTCTCAACAGCGTTGGTGTTGTACTTGGTTCTGCAATAAAGAAAACCTCATGGTTTAAATGCTAAGTTTGCAGCTTAAGATAGGGATGATCAATATCAGATTATTCCAAATACCATATTCATTCTTTCTCATAGTGTTTAATTCTGCATGTAGTAGGATTCTTTTTCTAACCAATGGCAGTATATAAAGTGGTGGTGTTTTAGTTCTAAAGCACACTGTTTTCACAAAGTGTATATTCTGATCTGTTGTTTATGGATTTTCCCCTACTTAAAATGATCAATTTTCATCATTAAATCAAGATGTTCTCAATATTGTTATTCATGGCAGAATTGTTTATCAAAGAAGCCATTATGACTTCTACTTTGGTTGTTTTTAGAGGAAGAGCAGAAGGAACTCCTTTGTCACACCTTATGTGATATTTTAGAAAGCACTTGCTGTGACAACTCTGCATCGTACTGCTTGGTTTCCTGGCTGAGAGGAAGGACAGCGGAGGGAACTGCTAGTATTTCTGGGAGTCCTGCAGAGTCTAGTTGCCAAGTGGAACACTCTTGTAAGATATGTTTTTATTTCACAAAATGAATTCGTGTCCTTTTGTTTTAGTAAACTACTGAACATTTTGAAGAGAAAATATTTTTAAATTTTATAAAATTTTTCTAGCATATGCTGAATTAATGACTTAATAATTTCTATTTCTGCTTCATTTATCTTAATTACTAGAAGATACTACATGTTTCAAAAGAAGATACATGCTTATCTCTTAAAATAGACTTTTAAAAAGTTCTATGTTTTGCTTGATAACAATGTTTTAACTTTTAGAACTCTTTAGAAAATTTTAATAACTATATTTTAGTTTTGAATTTAATTTTTTTATTATTGGAAATAAAAGGGACTTTTGACATCAGTAAATTTCTTAAGTAGTTGCTTTCTAGAGCAAAGATGGGAACATTTTTCTTAATTATGCGTGACATTTTTATTCCTGAATTTGTTGGACATTGTCATATATGTGAATTATTTTAAGGTAATTTGAATTACAATTTAATTATGCCTTAAGTTTTATACCTTGATTGAAGACTTTTTTCTTTAAAATAACTTAAATAATAGTTATTCTCATTAATGAAAATTTATACATTCTACTTTAATCTTTGAAAATCCTTAAGTAATTGAATAAAATCTGCCAGCACATACTAGCAAAATGGAGACTTCTGGTAGTATGGAAGAGTTGTTTTTCTGACTTGTTTTTAAAGAATAATCGTGGTAGTCAGTGATTTTTGACAGTTGGTAGTCCTACGTGCTCATAATGAAAAAGTGACCTATTCTACTTAAAGTGCATTTCATTTATTATCATCTCTGTAAAAGTTTTTTTTTTTTTTTAATTGGATGTCTGATTTTTAGAAAGTGCAGTTGGATTGCTTGTAATAGGCATCTTGCTTTCCGTACGGGATTTTCTATAAGTGCCACTGGCTCCCTGGGCTGAACTATCCCACATTGCCTTGTCTCTTGTTCTCCTACCTCTGCATTTAAATGCTTAAGCCTGGCAAATTCTAATACTGTGTGTGCAAGAAATAATTTTTAAAACTTAATCGAATGATGTTTCTTCTCAGACCTTAACATTGCTTTTCAAAAATAATTTATTATTTTAGAATTGATAATGACATTTGAAGGCAAGTAGAAAATATATACAAGGATGACAGTAAAACACATCATAATGTGGATTTTAAAATATTTTCCAAGTTTTTCTAGATTGTATGTAAGCATGTTTAATAGTTCCATTTAAGATACTAAAATTTTAAGAGAGGAGCAATTGAACTATTTAAAAGGTATTTTAAAGACTATATACTTAAAACCAATCTATATATTGATCTGTGAAAAATAGATCTTTTTATGTAACATTTTCCATTGGACTCTGAATAGTATATCGTGTACTTACTGTGGAGTTATCTGTATTTTCTATAAGTGATAAACTGGCCTGTATTAAATGCCCCCATAATCCTTTACATTTGTTAACTTCTGTAAGTAATTTAGATGGGCATATTATATTGAGTTCCCCTCCAAAAATCATGGTGTAGTAATTTTCCAGTTTATTTTGTGTTCCATTTTAAAAGTTGACCTGCCATAACACCATATTTGAAACCTGTTTTTAACATGCTGTTAACTGAAAAAAATGGGATTTTACCTTAGATCTTAGTAATGAACTGAACTTACATTAAAATTTTTATTCCATATAACAATCTATTTTACTTGTTCTTTCTTTTATTCCCAGCTATGTTCTTTTTCTTGTGTTTTATTTTCCACCATCTCTGCCTGCTAAGCTTTTTATTTTGCTTGCCTCTTCTCTCTTAATTATTCTCTTTATGTCTGTTTTCATGGTACTCTTAGTGAAAATGTTGAGATAATGAAACATTGCAAAACAGTATAATTTAGAAAAGATTAGACAGAATTTTTATTTTATGCTGAAAATTTAAATGTCAAGCGTTTCCCTTCATGAATGTTACATTTTGCACAAACAATTTCATTGGCTTATGTGGTGTGTATATTTTTGGCTTGTTGGTAATGCACACTCGTTTGCAGTAGTGAATACTTGGATTTAATTTCAGTTTGTTTCCCCCATTAAAGAAAAGATTATTTAAATTAATCATTTGGACTTTTAAAGATTTTAAATAGTAATTTGACAATTTGAAGATCAAAACTAACCTTTGAATCTCTAGCATAATGTGACATTTTAAATTGTAAGTAGAAAATTTTTACTATAATTCCTAATGAATTGATTTCCTTAACTTAGTGAGCATTTATATTTCAAAATTTAAGATTTGTATAATATAACATATTGTTGGTTGTCATAAAGTAGACATTTTGACTGGCATATTTTATAAGATTTTATCTTCTGAGAGCCAGGACTGACTTTCAGTGTCAGTACTGTTCTTTATCACTGTGCGGGCTTCTTCTCTGAGCCTCAAGTTCTTCTGCTGTAAAATGGAGCTAAAGAGGAGTAAATGAAATCAGACCTGCACAGCATTTACAAAAAGGGTCTGGAACTAGTGAAGTTCTCAATAAACATCATCTTTAATTAAAATGCTTCTCTTATTTTCTTAAATTTTTACAATTCACATTTGTACTATATTAGCAACAATATGTTGCTGGAAAGTTCTTCGCAGTTACACAAATGAAAGAGGAAACAAACTTAACGCTGTTGTTGAGCCTGTGTAGTTTCAGTGCTATGCCTTTTTATACACATTTGTTTGATAATGAAGCAGTAAACCCAGAGGGTTTATATTATAAAGGAAGAAGATTGGCTATGATGAGTTTACTTTATTTAAAAGTGCCAGACACGTGTCAGTGATGTGTCAATCATTTCTCCTCTCATAAACTGTCCTAGCATACCTGAACTGAAAAGAAATGTTGGTTCTTCAGTAACCCTGCTACATTCTCAGTAGTATATCCATTTTGGTTATAACCATGGTAATTAAGATATTGAAATATATATTCATGTTATAGTAAAGTTAAAAATAAACTGAGAATTTTAAGGGAGGAAATAGGGAAAGTTTTGATTGCTTGAAAGTATTTACAGCCTGCTGTGTGTATCTTGTGTCATTTATTTGCCGTGTGTAGTGCTGAAAAGTGTCTTTTATGTATAGCTGCCTTGGCTGTCGAAGAGCTTGGCTTTGAGCGATTTCATGCATTAATTCAGTAAGTAACATTGGAACATTTAAAATACTTACCTTGTGGACACATTGCCATTTTGAATCTTTCATACTATAGAAAGGCTCTTAGATTTATGAAGCACCTGAATTTTAAAACCCTTGCTTGAGGATTAATTTGCTTTCAAATTAAAAAAATAAAATTATGTATATTTAATTTCATCCTAAATTAATTACCCAAGAACACTTTTAAAGAAACATTAAAATCCTGTTCATCATTACAATGACAAAAAAGCATTTTAGCTTGATGTTTTTTCTGTCCTGGGTGACTATAAATGTATCGGCTGGGATAAACATTAAAATTACTTTTTATTTCCCAAAATGTGCTTTCTTTCATTTTTGTTAAAAGTGACCATGTTTTCAATGGAGCATTTATTTTTATTCCAAACTAAAAGGTAAGGATGACTATGTTGTTAGAATTATAGGTGGCACTTGTTTTGAAATGTTGACATTAGTTTCTCTAAGAGAAGCCACAAATACATAAGATAGCATGAGCAGTCAGATATTTGAAAATACTTTTCAGACTTTAAAAGATAAAGTTTTCTCTTGTTAAACACTTCTTTGAAGAGGGTCACTCTTTCCTTAAAACGGTATATTACTGAAGAATTTCTTGACCCGAAGCATTTCTCTTACGAGACGAAGAGCTCCCTGCCAAGTAGCCTTTCTCTTAACAGTGAACATTGTTTACGGTGGTAGTTGTCAGAGCTGTAGTTTTTGCTTTTAGTGATTACATTTGTATTTGAAAATTTGAGACGCTTTCAAAAATTTCTTATTTCTGTTAGTGCATAAGATAATTTAAATTTTTCCCATTTATGAGTGTTACATACCGTATTATATATTAATACTTAATTCCTTTTTTCTCCCTCAGAAAACAATCATTCAGAAGTTTATCAGAATTAAAAGATGCTGTTTTGGACCAGTATTCCATGTGGGGAAACAAATTTGGAGTACTGCTGTTTCTGTATTCTGTATTATTGACAAAGGTCTGTTTTGGCAGTTTTTTCTGCCCTTTGTTAATTTAGTGTGTTTTTTCTGCTGTGTTGTGAAGAGTAATTGTATTTCTTTCACTGTTTCTAAAACTCAGAATAAAAGTCTCTTTAACAAGAAGGAACTGACACCTTTTTCCTCTCCCTTCCCTTATTACCTAACCCCTTTCCATGATACTTTCACCTTTGTTCTTCTGGACTATGAGTTTATCAATAAAATTCTAATTTCAAAATGTTGCCACTTGTTTTAAATTTTATTTTCTTTGACCATAGCAATGTCTGGAGCTTAAACTCAACTGTTTCAGAGAACACTTTCTAATCCCCAGTCTTTTTTTTTTTCACCTTTTTTTTGTCTTTTTCCTTTTTATCGGTACGAGGGATCGAACTCACGACTGCCTGCTTGTAAGGCAGGCGCTTATGCCGCTGAGCTAAATCCCCAGCCCCTTGTTTCACTTTTTTGATAAATGGTTCGCTCATAATTCATATTCTCTCTCTGTCTCTCATTTTACAACATTGTTGCTTTTTTCAATAGCCTCATTTCCTTTTTTATTTGTATCTTTTCTATTCTCCTCTGAATTTTAGTGTTCCAGAAATTTCCTTCTCTGGGCTCTGTATACTTCTTTGTTATGTATGTTTCATTCTGTCATATCTTTCACTCATCATATGACTGACTTCACTGTATACGCTTTCAGTCCTACCCTTTTCCCTCAAATACTGATCCTGCATCTCTCGTAATCTGTTAGGCTCAGTTGAATACTGTCTGAAATCAGACTTTTTCCTTTGACAAATATTTATTGAGCACTGACTGCATGTTAAGAATTGTGCTTATCATATGAGATATATTTTCTAATGTTTCCTATTTGGTATTGCTCAAAAATGATAATGTTAATAATTGCCACCATTATGGTACTTTTGGTGTTCGTGGGCTTTTTAAATATAGGAGGAACAATGGGAGAGTAGAAGATGTGCCTACGTTTGTTGAGTAAAATCAAGGACACACTTTATGTGGTAGCAGCCATTTGATAAATTAGACTTGATGAATGAATAAGTTTTGTATATGGAAAAGAAGTAGAATTGTCGTAGGAGTGAGAAGACCAAGTCTTAAGGCATAAAGAATTGGGGTGTACCCAGGTTTGCGGATGGTAAATAATTCAGTATTATCACAAGATAATACTTTAGAAGGACAATTGTAAAAGATGAAACTAGACTCAAAGAAGTCTCAGAATATATCCTTATACATTGTGCACAAAGTTCTTTAAGTTTCATGCGCTCAAGATTAGAATAGAATAAAAATTTGAAGAAGGGAGTAACAAGATCTTTCTGTTGATAAAATATACCTTAAACTAGGGTACTAATTTGGAATAAAGAGACTTGGTGTCTGGAATAAGTGTAGAGTCAAGAAAAGCAGATACTGCCTTAGGTAAATCTGAACTGTGTTAGTGACTGAAATCAAGAAGAGAAACATTTAGAAATATAAATAAGAAAAAGTACATATTCATTTGGATTATTAAATATAAATAAGCAGGTGAAAGAACCTGAAGCGCTTGGTACCTGGGTATATGTTGAGAATAGCAGTGATAGTGGCTTTGGATGATTGTTACCTCAGGATTTCTTCATGCCTGTTCATTTCCTCCGTTTTTTTTTAATGTTTGAAACATTTGCTCCCCGCTTTTTGTTGTCCTGGAAGGCCAAGAAATCATCCGGATGTTTATCCTGGAGTTGCTCTTTGGAATGACCCTCCTTCCTCCCCAGTGGTTGTGTCCCTTCTTCCTGCCGCTCATTTTGGCTTCACCACAGTTTGCTTTGTGCTGTTCTTTTCAAGGATGGAAAGTGCAAGATTGTGTACGCTGCTTACCCCAGCAATATTTAGGCAGTGTTCAAGTATTTTCATTGTTGCATAACCAACTATTTAATCCTTAGAATAAAAGCAGCAGTGGAAAGGAATAGCATAACGGATGTCCGTTCCATCTAGGTCATTTTAGAGTTGGTGAAGTTAAAATACCTAGATTTTCTTGCACTCATTCATTATCCAGAATTTGAATGTCCCATGGGGGTTAAAATTTATTAGGAAGCTTGTTTTCAAGAAAAGAAACTTCTTGCCCTACTAATTTATGTCTTACATGGTCAGTACACATTTGAATTAACAATATTTGAAAGAAAGCACAATTAGTAGTAAACTTTCTGTTTTCTTACATACCAGTTACACCTTTTGTGTGTTTACATTTATGTTTGTCAGCACTGTCTTGTGTATGTATCTGCTTATAACTTGGTTTTTAAATGAACTAAAATACAATCAATTGCCTTAGCAGATACATTACATTGATTTAATTTATCCCAAAGTTAAATGACTACTTAACTTTGATATTACGTACTTTTCTCTTTCCTCTTGAAAGTTAAATATCTCTTTCTACTCCTTTAACCAATATTGCACTTACTACCCTTGTGTCTGTTATTGTTCTTTATGAAGAGCCCATGAAAAACAATAAAATACATACTTTGAGGAACTGGTTCTTACACTTATGTCAAATGTACCCATACTTAAAAGTTGCTTAGATAATTATGTTTCATACATTTCCATTTTGTACTCCATAATTCTACTTTAAATCAATGCTTGCTTTCTTCAGGGTATTGAAAACATAAAAAATGAAATTGAAGATGCAACTGAACCTTTAATAGATCCTGTGTATGGACATGGCAGGTAACTAACTAAAATCTATTCTCTTTTTGATGGCTTTAGTTTTAGAACTTGACTTGATAATCCTCAAAAAACTAAATAATGAAAATTCCAATTGACCCACTATCCCCTTTCTAGGTATCTTAAGATAATCATATTACAGGGATACATGGATACCCATACGTATAGCAGTGCAGTTCATAATAGCTAGAACTTGGTAACAGCATATATTTCTATCAGCAGGTGAATGGTAAGGAAAATGTGTTATTTATATGTAGTGGACTATTTTGCCATGAAGAAAGAAAAACTTGAGTCATTTTTAGGAAATTGGATACAATTTGAGAATATAATGTTAAGTGAAATAAGTCAGACACACAAGCTTAAATAATGCATGATTTCTTTTATATAAGAAACTCAAAATAAAATATACCAATAAAGTACAAAATAGAAGACATAGTACATAAATAGGAATTAGGGAGACGTTCAAATAACTCCCTAAAGTATCTATTCTGTTGTTTCAAAATACTGTGTATATTTATTTGTTTCATTTATACTATGCGTTTCTCTTAGTTCACTGAAAAAAATTGTTTTGCTAGTATTATCTGTTTTTTCTTGGTAAGAGAGAGTTTTTTTGTCTATGCCTTGTAGTCTGAGTAACTACTTTAAAGGTAATGATAAACCATGTATTAACTATTGCTAAAAAAAAGAGGGTAAAGCACAAGTGAGTCAGGTTGTTTTGCCTGCCAGTACGATTGAGAACGTAATGTGCATAGGTTTGAGTATCTTGTGCTTTATGCATTGCTTGCTTCATGCATTAAATGTTAATTTCCAGTTTAAGTTTGTGTATGCATTGAACTTAATCTGATATTTTCAAGTGATAATGGGGAAGTATTCTAAAAGTTGCTTTATATTTCACTTATGAAATTGTTTAAAAGATAAAATTATTTCAAATGGAAAGTATGTGCTTAACTGATTTTTAAATATTTTCCTCTCTAAAAGGAAAAAAATTTTCCTCTGGGGTCATTGTCTCTCTCAAGCCTGTTATAACTTATTTTTTATCAAAATTAATAGAACAGAGATAGTTAGCATACTCTTATTGATGAGCCCTTTTTAAATTTGCTTATCTTCCATAAAAAACAAAACATGCTATTAATAATTATGTATATATTTGAAAAGCTGATCATACATATTAAATAAATTATCAAAACATTTTTTCATTCTTTAAATATGGCAACTTAAAGTTGTATGATTATATAAAATAGGTGTATAACAGTATATAAAATGAAAAATATAAGTTTTCCCTTTTGTTTCTTAACATAATTTAATGTAAAAAGGCATTGCTTTAATGCCTTACTACAGGAATCGCTTAAGCGCTGTTTTATTCATCTTCTAATTACTTGTTAATTTTTATTAATAGCCAAAGTTTAATTAACCTCCTACTGACGGGGCATGCCGTTTCCAATGTATGGGATGGTGATAGAGAATGCTCAGGAATGCGTAAGTATATTTTTTGTTGTGGTTTTGTTCCTGGAGACAGGTTCTCACTAAGTTGGCCAGACTGGCCTTGAACTTGCTATATTCCTGGTTCAGCCTCCCAGAGTGCTGGGACTACAAATGTATATTCCATGCCTGGCTTGTGTTGTGGTTATGTCTTTTAAGGTTACTATTTCATTAGAATAAAATTGATTATATTACTTTTGAATGCTGTACTTTAGAATTTAAAGTAAGTGTTTTCTAATAGAAACAGTTTTCAAGGTGCCATAATATCAAGAGCATGAATTTTTAGGGCCAGGCAAGCTTGGGTTCCATTCCCAAGTATACTAAACTTTCCAAGCCTTTTGTTTTCTTTAGTATGGTATTAGGAATTTTAGTTCTTAATATCTCTATGAAGCATAATCAGTCTCTTAAAATAATAAGCATAGTGCATATTTATCCAGGGACAGTCTGGAGTTTGTGACAAAAATTACAAAGACAATGATTTGAGACATTTGCATAGAGAAGATAGTGAGGTTTCCTGTGTTTATTTTAACATGCATAGTTTTCTTTAAAATGGTGGGCAAATTTAATATCAACTGAGACTTGCAAACAACTAACTTTCATCACCACTTTCTGGTCTTAGTTATTTCTTTTCTGTAACTTTGTATTTTGCTATGAATATTGCAGAAAAACATAGTAGCCATTCCATTTAATTAAGGAGAGCTGATACAGAACAGCTCTCCTAGAAGGAATAAAATTCCTTCTGGCTATTCCTGGGTCAGTCTAAATTTATTTCTTTATTTGCTCAGCCCATGGTGACTACTGTGTATCTCCCACTGAAGTGTCTAGTATACACAGAGCTTCTGTAGTTCACAGGGAAAGTTATTCTGTAATTTTTTGCTAATTCATAATTAGATAAAAACCATCATAAAACCACAGAATAAATATGTCTAAGAAAATACTCTTTTCTTCCATTTAATTGATTCTTGATCTGAAATTTGACTGTTTCTCAAAATTTAGAAATACGTATAATAAGCAGAAATAAAGAATAAAATATTAAGAAAAAAATTAGTAAAAATTATGAAACTTAAGTTACAAAGCACTGTAGTGCTATCCAACTATTTTACTGAATCAGAAGTTTAAGAACTAACTTCTGTCTCTGTGTCAGTTAATATATGCAAAATTACTCACTTTAGTGATAAAGTTAGAATGAGAACCTTATTTGGCCTGTTTCTGGTAAAGGTCATAATTTAAGCAGTGTAATTCACGAGCAAAGGAAAGCAAAACAGAAAAACCCCAGGTTATCCTGCTTTGTTTTGTGTAACTAAGCACATTCTATTCTTGAAATTTTATTATGATTCATAGCTGAAAGACTCGGATCTTGGACTCTCAGTTTCTCTTGAGTATTATGCAGGTTTCTTTGTTCTCTCCCCTGTCATCCCTCTTTCTTCTTTCACTGGTTTCCGGGCTGCAGTGTATCATTTCAAATGATTAAGGAAGCAATATCTGTTTCTTGGTTCTCTACCCTTGTGTCCTCTGTCCCTCCGGCCTACTCCTGTGTGTCAGGGCCCTAACTCAGGCACATTAGTCTGGCACATGTTACTAGTTGTTGTGGTCCATTTTTATATTCATCATGGGTTTCTGTCAAGCTTGTCCAGTTCCCAAAATACATTTCTGCTTTCTTCTGCACACATCTCATAGGCTTATGGGCTTACTGCCCTTATAGAATGTTAGTCAATTATTAAGTTTTGGTTCTCAATAGATACAAATTCATACTTTTTTGTTTTTTGAAATATTGTTACTTGAAAAAATACATTAACCGGATCTAGATTGCCAGATAAAACATGAATCTTCCTGTTAAATTTGAGTTTCAGATTATAAAAGCAATGTTTTTAGTATAATTATGTCCTATACAATATTTCCAAACATTAAAAGTTGAAACTTATGTTTAACTGTGCTGAATATCATAATTTTTTATTTGTTAAATTTAACAGCCCTAACTGGTTGCCTAGTTTAGTAATCTTCTCAAGAATGTGAAAGACAGCTGGTAGGTGGGGTTTTTTCTTTTTCTTTTTTTTTTTTTTTTTTCATTTTATTTAAAGAGAAAAAGGAAAAAAAAAACCAAAAAAGGATACAAGTAATACAGAATTTTAAAAAAAATGAGCAGTAAGAAATCGCTCGTTAATAGATTACATATTGTCATCTTAGAAATATTTGTTCAAGTTACCAAATTAAAGCATATAATGTGGACATTCAAACAGTGAGACTGCAAACAGTTCAGTGATCCAACAAAACTCAGTAATATGGTTATCTATCTTATACACTTAAAAATACGTGCAGTTATATCCTTTAGAGCACTTTCTTTTCCTCTCTTTTTTACAATAACAATTACACATTTTGGGTTTTATTACTCCCACAGTTCTTATGACTTTTTTTTTTGAAGAGAATAAAACCAAATGTGACATAACAAAACAGAGTCAATCAAAATAAAAAGATGGACACAGTACATAATGTGAAAACAGAATACAAGGTTATCAACAATGGTTACCCTAATGCCTCTTGCTATTTTAAAAAGAATTGCCTATATCATCAGTTATAATAAAATTGAACAAAACAGTACAGAACAAAACCAATAAAACCAAAACATTGGAGACATTACAGGACTTCAAACCCAGGATGGGCATCATAGTGAATTTTATTGTCTTCAAAGTAGTTGCCTATACCCTCAACCTTGATACTATCAAGCAAAACAGAATAGAGTAAAATCAGTCAAAACAAGATGGTGAGAGCAATACAGGGCTTCAAATCAAGTTAATAGGAAGTCAAAGTGGTTACTATAAACCTGCTATTTTTTTATTTTTTCCCTTAATTAAAAAAATAAAAATAAATAATATAAAAGGAGATTGAGATAAAAGAAGACAAAACAACACAACAGCACAGGTCAGAACATAACAATTTAAGCAACATAGTGTTTCACCATAAGATTTCCCGTCATAACAGTAGTTACCATAGTGTCTCTTTCCTTGAAATATTTCAGTATAACTCGGTATACTGTAACATCAAACATATCAAGACAATGTAAAACCATTCAAGAGAATGACAGTATTACAGGGTATTTAGAACCACCTAACAGAAAACGAACAATGGTTCCTATATTATCTCCTTGTCTATAAAAGTTTTTGTTTGTACTATCACATATAATAAAATCCAATAAGATACAACATATTAAGACTGATGGAGACAGAAGAACAGAAGCTTGATGGGACTTCATAACAAGATGATATTAAATCGGCACTAGCTATTATGATGTCTTGTTGTCTTCAAAATAGCTGTTCCTACCATCATAGACAATAAAATCAAACAGCCCAGAATAAAACCATTCCAATTAATGAATGAAAACATTATAAGGCTTCAAAGCAATACAGTGGAGAATCATGATTTCCACATACTTTTATGTATTGTTATCATTTCTTACACTAGGGAAACTATTCAGTATTTATACATGTGGGTTTGATGTATTTCACTTATGAGTATGGTCTCAAGCTGTGCCCATTTATTTATAAATATCTCAATGTGATCATTCTTTATAGTTGAGTAGTACTCCATTGTATAAAAATACCACAGCTTTTTTATCTATTCCTCAGTTGATGGACACTTAGGTTGTTTCCAAGATCTGGCTATTACAAATTGTGCTGCTGTAGGTAGGTGGGTTTTTAAAGCTCACTATCAAACATAAATTTCATGCCTCAAATTGCAGACACCTTTACCTAATGTGAGATACTGAAGCTTATTTCAGTATCTTACTGCTTTCTATTTTTGTTCTAATAGTCTTGTAAAGTCTTTTTTTTTTTTCATTTTTAATTGTAGATTTCTCTTCCTGCTTACTCCATTTCATCCTAGCTTGTTTTTCAGCCTTTAAAAACTACTTGCTATTTGCCTTTTTAAAAAACCTTTGTTTAGGCCCATCCTAAGTCTGAAGTCCCACATTATATCCCTCTTCTCTTCACCTGTCCATTCCCTTAGTGTCCATTTTATATACCATTTCTAATGAGCACAGCTTCTGGTTCTCACAGTTGAATGCAGTGTTAATCTGAGCAGTTTTCTTTCCTAGCACTTAGCACGTCCTCCCTTTTTCCTTAGGTGTGCATCAGTGGCGTTCCCTTCTCTTACTCTGTGTCAGTAAAGTTCCTTTAAAGAATATGACCGTCATCTTCCCAGTTGTAGTTTGCATTCCCGAACTGTGCTTAGCGTTGTTCTTTACAGTACTCAGGGCTCAGGATATGCTTGTTAAATAAATTCAGAGCAAAAAATAATTTAGAACAGTTTCTTGTTTTCCTGGTCAGTGTCCAGTTGGAAGGGTGAAAGAAGGACTCGTGTAGACAAGCTGACGGGTAGGGTGGGAAGGAGAAAAGACTATACCACAGCAAAACCAAGTGTGGAGAATATAAAGCAAAGGGTATTGCTAGGCTACACCACCAGATTAGATAGAATTTCTAAAATGTACTCCTAATCTTAGAAAGGTGAACTCATAAAAACTGAGTAAAATGATGGTTACTAGGGATGGAGGGAGTTGGAGATGTTTGTTGGGTCAAATGATACAAAATTTCTGGTAGAAAAGAGAAGTAGGTTTCAGAGATCTGTTCTACAAAGTATTGCACGGACGACTATTGAATATCACTGAGACAGATTTTAAGTGTTCTCACTATAAAAATAAGTACAAGAGGTACATACATTAATCAGCTTGATTTAATCATTCCACAGGATATGTATTTTCAGGCATCATCAATATATGTATCACTCATCAATAAAAATTCAAAGCTAACCATAGATGTTATAGTTAGACCAAAGAATACTCTGGTGCTGTTTTGTAGTACTCTAATATACGATAATCCTAAAATTCAATCAAATAATTTGAGTCTTGATGCTTTTGTAACTTTTATAAGATAAATATTGGTAGTACAAATAAAAATATATCTAGAATAGACTAGAATTTTCTGCAAGTGAAGAGTAAGTAGACTATAGATTGAGAATGTCTCAATACAGATAAACCCTTCATATGTAGTGTGTGAGAGTATTACATCCTCACTGTATTCCAGTTTAAGTATAAAAAATTTTTTAAATAACTTGTTTGTTTTGTTTGTTTGGTACCAAGAATTGAACTCATAACCTTATGCTTTCCAAACAGGTTCTTAAGCCACTGAGCTAAATCCCCGGCCCTAAAATAATTTTTTAATACTAAACTTATCCAAATTATCCAAAGAGATTAATTTTAAGTATATGTTGTTAAGGAAATAGATATAGTACATTTTTAAACATTGACATCCAAACTAGATATTTAGGCATCTGATTACTGATATAATCCAAGTAATTCATCATGCTAAATTTATGAAAAGCCAGTTTGCTGTATTTAATAACATGATATTACTGTTGTAGATGTTTGTTTAAATCAAAGTAGATGGTGTAGTATCTGATTGTAACACTAGGTGGCGGTAATTGATTTTAGAAATTATGAACTCTTGGTCATATACTCTTTATATTTATTGAGGATCCTAAAGAAGTTTTACTTATGGATCATAAGCCAACAGTGATCAATATTTTTCATGTGAGAAACTGTAAAAATTTAAAAATGAATGCTAATTCATTTTAAAATAAAATTATATGCCTGCTACTTCTCCATATAAGTAACTTTCTCTACACGTTGTCCTGTCTTTTCAATCTCCATGACATTAGCTCTCATCTATCTTGGCTTTTGTCTGAAAAATTCAACATATGAAGTGTTACAATGAACACAACACACTGTAATACATGTATAAGTAACTGATCACTGATATACTAAGTCAAGAGGAGTTTCTCCAGAGTTCTCTTAAGTTTTTTTAAGCTCATAGTTCTGGGTAGAAATAAAAATTGTGGTATACAATAAGTATATGTGCATATACATATATATATATATATACACACACACACGTATACATGTATGCATCTAGGTACCTTTTAGATTATATACTGACTACTGTTTGGTTTTTTGTTTGATTTTTGCAGAACTTCTTGGTATACGTGAGCAAGCAGCTGTGGGATTCTTAACATTAATGGAAGCTTTAAGATACTGTAAGGTAAATTCATTTTAAAAGTACTTTGGATGGCTTTTATTCACATCTCCACTGTGGTGGGTACGGTTTTTTTTTTTTTTCCATGATGACACATTTTAACTAGTGACTATTGTTGTATGCCTTTCTCATCACTTCCTTCCTGATCTCCCACCCTAAGGATAGTTAAGCCGACTGACCATGCTGCATTTCGTGTGAGTAGAATAGGTGACAGAAGGCACAGAAATAAAAATAGGGTAATTATTGAATTATTATTATTATTGAAAAGCTGAAGGAAAAGCACGTTTTTCACTAAAAAAGAATATGCTTAGTTTTTTGAGGGATCTCCACACTGGTTTTCTTAGTGGTTGCATCAGTCTACACTCTCACCAACAGTAGAGAAGGGTTCCTTTTTCCTCACAGCCCCTCCAGCATTTGTTATTGGCTAATTTCTTGGTAATAGCCATTCTTTCTGGGGTGAGATGAAATCGTAGTGCAGTTTTCATTTGCATTTCTTGAATGACCAGCGATGTTAAACATTTTTTCATGTATTTATTTGCCATTTTACATCATCTGAGAAGTTTCTATTTCAGATGCCCATTTTTGGATTGGGTGTATACATCTGGGGGGGTCTGATTTTTTTTTTAAATTTCTTTATGTATTCTAGATAGTAGACTTTTGAGGAACAGCTGGAAAAATTTTTTTCTCACAGTGAGTTGTCTGTTACCTCTGTGATTCTCTTGCTGTGCAAAAGCTTTTTAATAAGATGAGATCACAGTTGTTGATGCTCTGTGATAGTGATTGGTGTTTTGTATGTAAAGTCTTGGCCTACATCAGTGTCTTCAAGAATTCTACGTATTCTGACTTCCAGTGCATTTAGTGTTTCTGCTTTAATATTCAGATCCCTGGTCCATTTCAATTTTAGTTTAGTGCGTGGTGGAAGATATGGGTTTAGGTTTAATCTTTAACATGTGGAAAGTTGGTTTTTCTAGCACCATTTATTAAAGACGGTGAAGATTTTCAGCTCCTTTGTCAAAGATAAAGTAGCTGAATGTGTTTGGAATTGTTTCTGCATCTTCTAATATTTTCTATTGATCCTTGGGTCCTTTTTTTTTTTTTTTTTTTTTACCATTACCACACTTTTTATTACAATAGCTTTGTAGTATAATTTCAAGTCAGAGATTGTGGTGCTTCCTTCCTTGTCTTTGTTGCGCAGAATTGTCTTTGCTATTCTAGGTCTGTTCTGGTTCCAAATGAATTTTAGGAATGTTTTCTCTTAATTCTGTTTGATTAGAATTGTATTAAATCTGTATAACAGTTTTGGAAGTATTGCCACTTTTAATATATTGACTTTTTCCCTATCATAGCGAAAAGGGATATCTTTCCATTTTCTGATAACCTCTTTAGGCACCTTTTTCAGAGTACTGTAGTTTTCAGTGCAGAGGTCCTCTACATCCTTTGCTAGATTGATTCCTAGGTACTTCATTTTTTTGGATGCTATTGTAAAAAGTATCATTTCCTTGATTTTTCTCTCAATGAGTTTCTTAATCATGTATTCAGGAATGCTATTATTTTTGAGTGTTGACTTTGTATCTGCTAAGCTACTGGATTTGGTTATTATTAGTATCTAGTACTAGAGATTCCATTGACTGAACTATTTCACTTATCTTTGCATCTTTCCAAGAGAATTAAAAGCATCATACCATAGTGATATTTGTACACCCTTGTTTGTAGTGGCACAGTTTATAATAGCTAAATTTGGGAAATAGCCCAAATCCCTATTTATTGATTAATGGATAAAGAAGATGTGGTTTTTTTTTACACAACGAAGTACTACTCTGCCATAAATAAGGATAAGTTTGAGACATTTTAGCTAAATGGATGTACCTTGAATCCATACTACTAAGGGAAATAAAGCGAATACACATGTGTAAGTACTACGTTGTTTCTCTGTGTGAGCCACTGAAAGTGTAAATATGGGCCAAGTGTTTAAGAGATTTGGGAAACAAAGAAAATATTGAAATGGAAAGGAGAACTACAGAGGAGGGAAGGGGAAAGATTGGAAGAGAAAAAAATGATGAGAGAAGAAACATGGAAACAAAAGTTTTGTAAATGAGGAAGAGGATTGAAGGGAGGGCGGGGGGATAGGAAACAAAAATAATCAAGTTGTAGCCTGGACAGATCCAGATTCTCTATAATGATTGCTGTCATTAAACATTAAAGTATAGAATAAGTTCTATACTTTAAAATTTAAAAAAATTCTTACAGCTCCCTCCAAAAAAGAGAATATATTTTATCAAAGCAACCAGTAAAATTAGTCTAAAATAATTTTCTAAGTATCTGCAATTCTAGCTTTTATCTTTTCCATCTCAACAGTGATTTTACACACAATTCCAAACATTTCACATTAAACTCTTTAGTATAAGTGCTAGAGTTAGGAAATGCTCACTGTTGCTATGCATTTAATTGCCATCCTACACAATCTGAAATGGCCATGGAATATGCCAAGTAGTTTTAAATGTGATTTAAATCTTCAGCCGTTGATGCTATAATTTTGGAGAAAGGAAGAAGAGTTATAATTTTGTTTTTCCATTTTAAAGGAGTTCCAAATAAATAAATAAAGGAGTTCCATTACTGTGGTTCTGGTAGTGGTGATTATTTTTAGTAACTTCAGCATTGTCATGTATCTGTGTCTATATGCATGCATGTGTGCACGTATGAATGTATGTATTTTAGTAGTGGTGGTGTTATTGTTGCTTGCCAAATAGCGTTTCTCTTTTTTGGCAACATGTAGATAGGTGACATAGGTGTGGTAATCAAGCAAGATTCATCCTGACCTTACTCTTTGGTCGTGATCATGTGGTTAAACAGTAGCACCTCCTTTATTTTCTGTTGTTTCAGTTATACAAACTAAGCTACTCAGACATCCTGGCAACCAAAGAATCAAACTATTCATTTACCCCCACCATGCATGTTCCTCTATCCTAAAAGGAAGTATATGTTTAACTGCCTCTGTGTGTGTGTGTGTGTGTGACAGACAGAAAGAGATAGAGACAGGGAGGAGGGGAGGGGAAGGAAGAGGACCGAGAAGAGAGAGAGAAAGCATATATACCCGTGTGATTTGGAGGAGGCTGTGTGATGGGGAGTCCATAGTTTGAAATCTTTAGCATGTAGCTCATAAGATATGATGATCTGAATCCTGTCTTTTGGGACGCATTGTTCTCTTCCTTCCTGTGGCCCAGCCCCTCTCACGTCCTGTCCCTTTCCTTTACTTGCCCAGCTCTTTTTCCTTTGTACCTGAACAGCTGCTCTTTAAGTGATTGACTCTTTCTCCTCTTCACCTTGTGCTTCAGATTGTGTCTGAAAGATTCCTTCCTTGACATTCCCTCAGTTATTTTTTTTTTTTAATGTTCTTTCATAGGCATAACTACTCTGTCGTGATCTTTTTAGTTGCTTTTTAAAAATCTTTCTGTATCTCTTATTGTCCCTAAAGGAATATAGACTCTTTGTTTGAAGAAAGGGATATTGTCTTGCAGGATCCATATTAGGTGCCCAGTAAATATTCGTTCAGTGAATGAATGGACAATTTTTCCAGAATTATAAGGTTTTCCTAAATGTTTGTGGTTGCTTTTTTTTTTAGGTAGAACAGAAGAATGTGATTTCTCACCAGAATCTTAGTAGGAAGTTAATAGCTGCTACACTATATTTATTTGTTTATGTATTGGTGTAATGTTCTAGCAGTTACATGTTTGTTTTCTAATAAGATAAAACATTTTTTTTAGTGGCAGAGTGCAGTGCACTGATACATGGGTAATGGAAAGGTAGAGAAGACTGCCAGGCAAGGTCACACAGTGGTTATATCTGGAACAGAGTAATAGTCAGCTCGAGCACTCGGGGCCTTTGAAAGTAGCATGGAGTTAGCTAGGTTTCCTTTGCTCCTGTGAAGCAGCTAATTTGAATGATTTCTGTAGCTCTGACCCTACGGGCTTCCCCTAGTTGTCTGGTATATCGGGCAATTTAAGATTGTGAGAGATCTGTAAGTGAAGTTATTGGTATGTGAATTTAATTGCTATCCTTTTTAAGGAGACTGACTAGTTTTGGCCAGGACCTCAGAATTGACTCAACATTAAAAAAGAAAAAAAGAACAGAAAAGAAAGAAAGAAAAAAACTATATTAGACCATGATGTCACATGTTTATAAATTCTCATAATCTATGTACAGTTCCTTTTCAACAGGAGCTATGGCATAAGGAAAATAATTACGCTTGTGGTATTTTTGTAAACCTGAACACATTTCCTCACTTGCATGATAGTGTAGTACATTGCTTTTTAAGAATGAAATTAAATTGTGCATATTATTTTACCATACACTCATTAATATAAATTAAGCACTACTACCATACACACAAAGCTCAACAACGAAGGAGGTGATTCTTGGTGCTTTTTACTGTGCACTTTTAAGAAACTAAATTTCTAACTCATATAAAATTCACTATTTTAACATACACAGTTTATTGGGTGTTAGTATATTCATAAAGCTGCAGGCAGCCATTTGAGTTGTCTAATTCTAGCATGTTTTCCTTACCTCCGAAAGAAGCTGTAATTCCATTAGATGCCTCTAATTTAGTGCCTGACAGCTACTATTCTGCTTTGTATCCATACAGTTCTCTATTTCCTCAGTAGTTCATATAAAGGAAATCTTGGAATATATAACCTTTGTGTCTGACCTCTTAACCTAGCTTGATATTTTCAGTCTTCATCCATGTTTTAACATGTATTAGTATTTCCTTTTTATAATCAAGTAACATTGCTGTTTAATATACAGATTTTGTTTATCCATTCATCAATTGATGGATGTTTAGGTTTCTATTTCTTAACTATTCTGCATAATGCTGCCATAAACATCATGTACATTTTTGTAAGCATGTTGTTATTTCTCTTTAGTTTATGCCTAGGAGTAAAATGACTTGATCTTATGACAGTTCTGTATTTAGCTTTTCAAGAAATTGTCAAATTGTTTTTCAAAGTAATTATATTTGTGCACTCAGTTTTTTTATTGTAAAACATTTTGTTAAATCAACCTTCACTTTTGTTCAATTCTCAGTATAAAATCTTGCCTCTTTTTTTACGTCTAGCTTATTTTAAATTCATTCTCTCTCTTTCTCTCTCCCCCAATCTTCCTCTCCCTCTCCTTTTGCCTCTCTTTCTCTCCCCCACTCCCTCCTGAGAGAGAAGGAAACAGTATCTAAATGGTTTTCCCATAGACAGCAGACAACAGCTAGGTTCTTATCTTGTGTATTTCTCAGGTTTCTTTTATATAACTTGAAAGATTTGCACTGCTTACAGCTTAGACTCTAAAACTGATGAAAGCTTTTCTTTTTCCTTTAGTTTTTACTTTATGTTCTTCTGTGCTGTTCCCAAATTATGCTTCTTATTTTACTGACTCGTTATTTTCATGTTAGCTCACCTAACTTACCCCTCCTATTATAAGACAAACACCAATTTTTCCCACCCACGAATACAAAAGAGTGCATATTTTCCACTTCCCTCTTAGAAGAATATGCTGTCAGGGCCGTGGTCATGAATGAAACAGGGGTGACTGGCTGATCAGGAAAGAATAATTGGCCATGAGCACTGCAAATAGTTATTGGAATTTCCCAGTGACAGTCTGTGTAGGGAAAGAAATTCAGCAATTTGATTGAAAGATAGTTGTTTCTAAGTAGAGCTTTCTGTCATAATATGAGCATGGTATTGATTGTGTGGACAAGATTATGTAGGTCCATTTTATTTGTTGACTATTAAACTTTCTTAGTCTCACATAAATAATACTTTCAAGTTTTTGGTTATTGTAGTGTTTATATACATATATAATCATGAAGGCAGGCTTTGATATGACTTTTTAATAGACTTTTAGAAAGACTATTGAAGTTCAAAATCTTAACTCTTCTATAATGAAAAGTCAAATGACAGAATTCTTTCATATTCTTAAATGTTTCAGGTGGTATCTTTTTTATAAGAGATTTTCGTATTAACCTAGAATCACAAAAAGAATGGTCTTAATTTTGTCTTTGTACATCTTCTTAATTTATAATGGTTTTCCTTATAAAGTATCCAGTTTATGGCTTTGGGTTTGAGGTATCAAGTTGAAATTAGAAAAGTGATCATTGTGTCATGTTAGTGAAGCCTGATACTGTTCAAATGTACAAGTAGAATGTAAGATTAGAAATATTGCTTTTATTTTTATGTTTAAAATTTGATCTCTCTGGGTAAAGTACTCTTTCACAATATATTATATTTAAATATAATTTGGTCATTTCAGTTGTGTTTCACATATTTGTGGGCAAATATTTAAAAGACAATACAAATATTTCATTTATTCGTTTTGCTACATTTTTTTCTAGGTTGGATCTTACTTGAAATCTCCAAAGTTCCCTATTTGGATTGTTGGCAGTGAAACTCACCTCACCGTGTTTTTTGCCAAGGTATGCTTATAAAACGATTATATTTACAGTATGACGTCAGGTGAACAAGGACTAGAAGTCCACATGTAGTATGAATCTTTCAGCAATTGTCATCTATTCCTGATAATAAATGAGTTGTTCCTAAAAACTAAAAAGCAACACTAACAAACAACATTGTACTATTTATTGCTCTAAGTCTGGAATGATTTCAGTAAAATGTCATTATTTTTTCCATAAATCACTTGTATTATGAAGGAATCAATTGAGTTTAAGTTTTTGTTTGCTTTTTTTATTAGGATAAAAATCTAACATATGTGACAAAATATTTAAATTACAACATCTGCTTGAAATACAGTTCTAAATGTATTAAAAATTTCTGTGGTATTAAAGCCAAACTAAGGCTCTTTTGAGATTATTTCCTACAATTGTAATATGTACTTGCTTATCATATTAAACGAGATGAACTACATTTAAAAGTTTATCAAAATTCATATGAGAATTTCTAAAGTTATTTCAAAATTTTGTTAATTATATGCAAAATTTTTCCACAGTTGAGTGGTTCCGAGTTTTGGTATGAGATACACTTCATTTAATTCTCGGCTTGCTGTTTACTAACACCTCTTAGTGTGTTTGCTTATGTCTCTACCTTGGGAGTTAATAACAGTCCCTAGTTCTTAGAGTTGTTGTCAGGCTTAAATGTAAAATATTTAGCAGTGTCTAGTACAAATTAAATGCTCAGTAAATCTTAGCTGTTATCATGTTTTTTACATTATTCAATTCCCATTTATCAAGCACATCTGTTATCACAGGGCAAAAACATTAGATGTGGAATTAAAAGGGAGAAGTATAAAACCGTATTTTTGAAGTTTCTTAATTCTGACATACCTTTTTGATTATTCTGTGAGCTTTAGAATGTGTTTGTCCATGTTCTTTTTTTTAGCAAGTGTGAACTGTATAAATTGTACCAAAGTCTGAGTTGATGAAAGCTAAATTTTATGGATATAGTTCATTATATAATTTTACTTGTATTGTGCTAGAAAAACTCCAGCTAGTAGATTACAACAAGATACATATATATTGTCTTTTCTGTAAAAACAGGGAAAGTTCTAAGCATAACTCTAAAAGTACGGACCTTACTAAAATGTTACTTTTAATCTGAAAGCTTTTGCTGTTTATTTCCTTCCAAAGTAGGGAGGAAGAAGTTAAAAGCCAAATATGAGCTACAGAAAGGGAAAAGAAAATCAGTTTCAGTTCACATACAAATACATTTCAAGCCTATTGTTTCAGTTGCCAACCCTGTTTATTTTCAATAGGAAAACTAGTAAGTTGTATAAGTTTTTATTTTTAATTTCTTAAAAACTAGTTTTATTTAAATAAAGGTTTTAAATACATTAATAATATAAAAACTTTTAGTTGTTTGCTGTGCAACATTTAGAACTTTTGAATTCATAGAGATTTTTTGAAGCTTATTTTGTAGTTTCAGAATCTGGTATAAAGTGAACCCCATTTGGTACAGGATTCATTAGTTGAATGAATAAAACTTTTGCACAAAATTCCCTCACATGAGTTCTAGTGATACCAGTATGCCCTGAAAATATTTTTTCATGACTCATTCTGAAGTTCTTAAAAAGCATAGGCATTTTTGTTGTGGTATAATTTGTATTGTTTAAACTTGTAATCTTTAGAAAGATTAAGAATATTTTCCCTCTGAAATAAGCACAAAACCAGAAGATAAGTGGTAAACAAGTCTGATAATAGCATTTGCTGGATCCAATTTTAGATGTCTTTAAATACAAAACATTCTTCAGCATATAGAAAGAACTGGAAATTTTATTGATCTTGGAATTATAATAAAAACCATTCATTGTTTGGGCCTTCTTTAATGTTTCTACATTTGACGAATTATTTAGCCATGGGTTTGTTTTTGTTTTGAGTTTTTATTTGTTTTTGGTGGATTTGTTTATTCTATTATATGCTCCATGGCCCAAAACAAGCAACTTGGTTTTCCCTTCAGCAGCTTATTGTAAATATTGATGTCTTTTTCTATGAAACTGTTTTATATGTTTATATTTTATGTGCTGACTTCTTTGTACTGGTTACAATTAAGTTAAAAGCATAAAAAAAGCATATTGTCTGTTGATAGTTTTCAAAGTAATCTATAATTTAGCTTTGGAGAGCAGTGAAAATTTTTAGACACTGAAGATGATAAGTTTTAACCACTTTCATTTAGTCTTATTCGCTTATCAGGGCTATTTATATGCACTTATGGGCTTAGAGTTTGTGCCTCACATTATAGCAGATGTTATGAATATAGTGGTGCTCATAAACAGGAATAGTTCTTGTTCTTACAGAGTGTACATTCTTGTGAAGGATGGCATTGCTCAAATGATCAGTTAGAGTATTACAGCTGTGATGACCACCGTCTTAGTTGCTGTTTTGTTGAGTCAAAGTAACGCTCACAAGTGAAAGGAGGGAAGGTTTTTTGGCTCATAGTTTTTAGAGGTTTCAGTTCCTAATCAGCTGGCTCCACAGTAGGGTGGACTGGCAAAAGGCCCCAGAGAGGAGAAACCATTCGTGGCATGGCAGACAGAAGGCAGCCAGCAGCAGCAATAGTCTTTCATCTTTTATTCCATCCAGGCTGCAGACTTTTTGGATCATGCCACCCACAACTGGGGTGAGGCTTCTGTTTTTACTAAATCCATTCAGCTACACCCAGAACTATGCTAATTCCAGTTAGTGGGCTAATTTAGCACCACACACCTCTAATCCTAGTATCATATGCCAAAACCAGCTAGCTCCAAAACGCCCAACCTATGAGCACATGAGACTTTGGAGAGACATCTAGATACAAGCCAGAACAACTACTGATAAAGCACAGTCTGTAATGCTGCAAATATTTATCCTAGCTGTAGAAACTTGAGATGTTTCCTTGAAGAATCAAAGTTAAAAATGAGCACTGAAGCATCAGTAAGAATAAGCTAGGGGAGAAGGGAGTGCATTCTCTACATCGGTAAAAGAGAGCAAACAGACACCTGTACAGGACAGGACTGTGGTGGGAGCAGACAGCAGCAGTACCCAGAATGGAAGGCCCTGGTCTGAGGTGAGCCCGGACAAATGGGTACACATTTCTCCTTAACCTAAGAGCAGTGGCAACCACTAGCTCTGGTAAAAATTAGAGATAGAAAGGAAAGAAACAGAAATTCACATTTTGAAAAAGTCACTCTGACTGATTGTGGAAATAGACGTATTGAGGACTAGCCTAAAGGACAAGTAAACAAAATTTTTGTCACATTTCAGGTAAACAAGAGTATACTTTGGTCCAGTGTAATGATGTAGAGAGGAACACAGTACCTGAGTTAGTTTTCTCCCTGATGTAAAATGACAGGGCTTGGCACTGCATAGGGTTTTGTAAATGAGGTGTAGGAATCTCTAGTGAGATGCATGTTGGCATCTCAGTTGGCACTCAGAGCTTGAGAAACATGTGTACATAACAGTTACGCTATTGTTAAATGGATCCACTCGTGAGTTTAGCATTATGTGTACTTCACATAACGGGGTCTGGGGAGAGCTACAGCTGCTCTGACGTTCCTTTTTTCTTTTATTTCCCTTAGAAGAGTAGTGATAGGAGAATATCTATCATTGTAGATGATACATTGTTTTTTATTGAAATTTAGTGCCAGTAAGAGTTATCAGAATTCATTTGATCCAAACTCCCTTTATATTTCAAAAGCAAACAGCCTGTGAAGGAATGAAAACTTCTAACATTTTATGGCTAGGAAAGTAGCCTCCCAAGTGCTGGAATTACAGCCAAGATAAAATAGAATATTATAATATTAACCAGAAGCTGTATTGAATTTAACCTACTTAGAGTGAAAAGATATATACAAGCAAATAAACATAAAAAATTGCTAGTAATATTTAAGCCAAATAATTGATAAGGAATAATTACAGTATTTCCAAAAAATTATGGGGGATTGAAATTTATGGAACTAGATTTTGCTTTACTAAAATGACAAAATTGCCATTATATTATAGATGTAGAATGAAAACCAAATTAAGCATTTCTAGGGACTTAGTTTTAGTTTTAATTTTATTTTATATGTTCTGTATACATGTCATTAAATTTTCATGGAAATTAAAGCTTTATTAGACCCTGATAATAAAGAGAAAAAGCAGAAATGTGATTTTTTCACCCTGAAAATTATTTTGAACCAAAATTATAAGTAATATTAACTACATAGGAGAAGTAGGCTAAAACACAAATAGAGTTTTTATCAAATAAACAGTAGCAGTTTTGATTTGTTTTTCTCAAAAGTGTATCTTTTAAGTCAATGACATTCTAAAATATATTGAGTTTTTAAAAGTATATTTAAACTTTTTTATCAGTATATATTTGATGTAGAGAATAATTACATTAGGGAAAGGCAACAGAAAAGAATTGACATGTATTGTGTACATATACAAACTCCCCACATACATCAGATTAAGAATTGTTTGTATTTGTTTTGTGCCAAAGAATATTACTTTCTATTTTTCACCAATATCCTCACATAGCCTCTTGGCTAAAAATATTCCAGTGTCAAATGATTAGTGGCTTTAATTTATTCTTCCCAATTTTGTAAGTGTACCATTTCCCAAATAGATACTGATATGTTTATGTATAAGATAAACAAAGGCTGACCAACATTTAAGATTTTAGTGTGTGTCATTTCCTAGAAAAAAATCTTTCAAATTTCAACTTCATTTTGATTGTATAATACTTTCATTCAAATTTAATTTCTTACTTTGGGTTTTCTTAATTTCTTCTTTATCCTTTATATTTCCAACCATTTTTCCTTTAGAAGTGGAAGCTATTTTCCCATGCTGACTTGTGTTATCAAAATAATGATAGTTAGTTATGGGAAGTGACCCATTTAGTTAGTATTGTTTTATAACAGCATGACTTTTCCAGTTGCAAGACGAGTATACGTATGCTGCTTTATTTTATTTTATTACCGATTTTTGTTGTTTGAGACAGGTTC